TGACCTCAGGTGATCCACCCCCCCCCCCCCTTGACCTTCCAAATTGCTAGGATTACTGGCATGGCCACCACACCCACCCCAAAAACAGAACTTTACATTTCCATCCTAAAAATAAAAATTAAAAATTCCATTTTATTTTTTCTCATCTTAGTAAATGACCCACGATTCATTACAGTTGCTGTGGCCAAAACCTAGAAGTCACATTAGATCACTTTCTTTTCCTCCCTTTCCTGTCCTCTTTATGCCCAAAATATATCCCTAGCCCAACAACTCTCATACCTCAAATGTTCTTGCCCACATCATCACTGTGTTTTGTCTGGTTTAACAACCTCTTTTTTTTTTTTTTTTTTTTTGAGACAGAGTTTTGCTCTTGTTACCCAGGCTGGAGTGCAATGGCACGATCTCGGCTCACCGCAACCTCCGCCTCCTGGGCTCAGGCAATTCTCCTGCCTCAGTCTCCTGAGTAGCTGGGATTACAGGCACAAGCCATCATGCCCAGCTAATTTTTTTGTATTTTTAGTAGAGACGGGGTTTCACCATGTTGACCAGGATAGTCTCGATCTCTTGACCTCGTGATCCACCCGCCTCGTCCTCCCAAAGTGCTGGGATTACAGGCTTGAGCCACCGCGCCCGGCGTTTAACAACCTCTTAATACTTTTCTTCCAGTTTTGTTTCCACTAATGGTCAGCATTAATAGTTACAAAAAACAAACACTAACTGGCGGATTTAAGCAGAAAAAGAGATAAAGCTGGGTGTGGTGGCTCACAACTGTAATCTCAACAGTTAGGGAGGCCAACGCAGGAGGATCAGTTGAGTCCAGGAGTAGTTCAAGACCAGTCTGGGAAACATAGTGAGACCACCATCTCTACAAAAAGTTTTAAAAATTAGGCATGGTAGTGTATACCTGTAGTCCCAGCTACTTGGGAAGCTGAGGTGGGAGGATCATTTGAGTCCAGGGGCGTGAAGCTACCGTGAGCCATAATTGTGCCACTGTACTCCATCCTGGGCAACAGAGGGAGACCCTGTCTAAAAAAAAAATTTTTTTTTTGAGGAATACTGGCAAGGAATTTGGGGACAAACTGTGTATAGCATTGGTAAAGGGTATAGTAGGATGCAGCAGATAAAATAATTGAGTATTATACAGTTGTTAGAAACAAGTATTGGAGGTACTTGGCACAGCCTCCATAGATACCATCCACAGGTCTAGGATGTTGCCACTAGTTTTACTGGGAAGCAAAAAGTAACAACTGTTCCAAAGCAAACCTGCAAGAAGGGGAAAGCAGAATTTTAAGAAACCTTTCTGGGCTGGGCATGGTGGCTCACCCCTGTAATCCCAGCACTTTGGGAGGCCGAGGAGGTGGATCACCTGAGGTTGCGAGTTCGAGACCAGCCTGACCAACATGGAGAAACCCTGTCTCTACTAAAAATACAAAATTAGCCAGGCATGGTGGCACATGCCTGTAATCCCAGCTACTCGGGAGGCTGAGGCAGGAGAATCACTTGAACACCGGAGGCAGAGGTTGCAGTGAGCCGAGATCGAACCATTGCACTCCAGCCTGGGCAACAAGAGTGGGACTCTGTCTCAAAAAAAAAAAAAAAAAGAAGAAGAAGAAGAAGGCTTTCTTCACTCTCACTGCCACCCTCTGCCCAGACCATAGTCTTCCCTACTTTCTCCTGCTCTCCCCACTCCCATCTTCTCCCACCCCTTTTCACACATTTTAGTGCAAGACAGACTCTAGTTTTCCCCAGAGTTTCCTACAGAGGTGGTGGTAATGATGGTTAATTCCTGGAGCCTGTGCTTACCTCTTAATTTGTATTTTCTGCAGGACTGATTTCAAAAGAAGGAGCCAACAACCTGAGTTCACTTGTCATCTTAGCAGTCACAGGTGTGTTCCGATTCTTCACAAGTGCCTGCAGTCATTGGAGGATGCATTGTTACTGAAAGGAGAGGTCAGCCTGGAGTTATTTTTAAACCCAAATTGCACAACTTATAGAAAGCTGATTACTTCCACCAGTGCAATAATTGCAACCCTGGGAAGGGATCTAGAATGCATTATGTATTAAGAGTCATCTTAATTAACAAATACAGTTGCTTGGTTAGTTATTTTAAGTCTCTCATAGTATGTGCTAGAAATAAAAATGGGGGGAAAAAGCTGTCTCTGCCCTCTAGTGGAAAAGGAGAGGAATTATAATTATAATACTGGAAATTTAGGTAATTGCTTTAATAGAAATATCCTATAACAAAGTTACTAGGTGTATGGATGCTTAGCAAAAGGATGTCTTCACAGGAAAGTAGCACTTCAGCAGAAAACTTGAAAATGTATAGAAATTTTCAAAGAAAGTAAATAGAAGGAAAATGTTACAGGCATAGTACAATATGATGCAAAGAAAAAAGGTTTGAGGAAATACAGCGTATTTTGGGAAATACAAATAGATCAGTGTTTCTGGAGCATAAACACTAAGAAAGGTACAAGAGATGAGATGAATGAGTAGGTAATCCTAAGGAATTTAGGTTTTATCGTATAAGTCAATGTTATCAACTGTAAATAAAATTTTAAGAACAGATTAATTTTTAAAATTATAAGATAAACAATTGAAAAATAAAAGCTTAAATATATTTGTTTTATATTTGTGGAAACTCAGCCTCCCAGGTTCAAGCGATTCTCCTGTCTCATCCTCCCAAGTAGCTGGGATTACAGGTGTGTGCCACCATGCCCAGCTAATTTTGTATTTTTAATAGAGACGAGGTTTCACCATGTTGGTCAGGCTGGTCTCAAATTCCCTATCTCAGGTGATCCACCTGCCTCGACCTCCCATGTGCTGTGATTATAGGCATGAGCCACTGCGCCTGGCCTCTTCTTTCTTTTTTTTAAAAACAGGGTCTCACTTTGTTATCCAGGCTGGAGGGCAGGAGCATAATTATAGCTCACCGCATCCCTGGACTCCTGGGCTCAAAGGATCCTCCTGATTCAGCCTCCCAAGTAGCTAGTACTACAAGTATGTGCCACCACACCCAGATAATTTTTTAATTTTTTTGTGGAGATGGGATCTCACTATATTGCCCATTCTGGTCTCAAACTCCTGCTCTCAAGTGATCCTCCTGCTTCAGCTTCTCAAAGTGCTGGGATTATAGACATGAACCACTGCACCTAGCCTAGAAAGTGTTTTCTCTTCTTCAACTTTTCAGGAAAGTTTGAGAAAAACCATTATTAGTTCTTCTTTAAATGCTTGGTAGAATTCAGTAGTGATGCCAGCAGGCCCAGGGCTTTTTTTGTTGTTGTTAAAAGATTTTTTTTTTTTTTTTTTTTTGAGACAGAGTTTTGCTCTTGTTACCCAGGCTGGAGTGCAATGGCACGATCTCGGCTCACCGCAACCTCCGCCTCCTGGGTTCAGGCAATTCTCCTGCCTCAGCCTCCTGAGTAGCTGGGATTACAGGCACGCACCACCATGCCCAGCTAATTTTTTGTATTTTTAGTAGAGACGGGGTTTCACCATGTTGACCAGGATGGTCTCGATCTCTTGACCTTACGATCCACCCGCCTCAGCCTCCCAAAGTGCTGGGATTACAGGCTTGAGCCACCGCGCCCGGCCCAAGATTTTTTTTATTACTGATTCAATCTTTTTACTAGATACAGTCCTATCCAGATTTTCTATTTCTTTGTGATTTCGCTTGATAATTGTGTTTCTGGGCAGTTATCCATTTCATCTAGGTTATAAAATTTGTTGGTGTACAATTGTTCATAATAGCTGCTTAAATCATTTTTGTTTTTATAGAATTGGTAGGAATATCTCTGTTTTTATTTCTGATTTTATTAGTATGAATAATTTTCTTTTTTTCTTAGTCCATCTAGCTAAATGTTTGTCAATTTTGTTGCTATTTTCAAAGAATCAACTTTTGGTTTCATTGATTCTATTTTTTTTAATTCTCTCTTTTGTTTGCTCTAATCTTTACTATTATTTTCCTTCTGCTAGTTTTGGGTTTAGTTTGTTCTACATTTTCTAGTTCCTTAAATTGTATAGTTATGTTGTTGTTTTGAGAGTTTTTTGTTTTTTAACATAAATATTTATAGCTATATATTTTCTTTCTTTTTTTTTTTTTTCAAACTGTATCCAGCTTTATTAAAGATACTTTCCATAAACAATCATGGTATTTCAGGCAGGACATGGGCAGACAATCATTAACAGTATACAACTTTCAAACTCCTTTCTTGGATGGACTACCAAAAATCAGAAAGCCACTATAAAACCCAATGAAGTCTTCACTTGATGCTCTGAACAGGGAAAGTTTAGAGTGAGGGTTGCCATTTCACATTTAGCCTGTTGTTTAACAACTTTTCACTAGCCGACCCCGACTTTCAGGAAGTGAAATGAAAATGGCAGAATTTATCTGAAATCTCAGCTACTCGGGAGGCTGAGACAGGAGAATTGCTTGAACCCAGGAGGTGGAGCTTGCGGCGAGTGGAGATCGCGCCATTGCACTCCAGCCTGGGTAACAAGAGTGAAACTCCGTCTCAACAACAACAACAACAACAACAACAAAAAAAGAATTTATCTGAAATCTGATGGAATCTAGAAATGGAATCACTGCTCTTTTGACAGGTGCCATCTCAGTGGCATCACTGGCAAGTCCAGATGGCCTGACACATTGGTAACCAATGACTGGGGGTCAGGTCCCAACAGATGTCGGCTTAAGGGAGTTAAGTCTGTGCTGAAAGACGGAAAGGGAGAAGAGGACACAAAAGCGAATTTGTGTTTCCATACCACAAGGCTTTTGTGTGCCAAGGTGGCCATGTGTGTCAAGGTCAGGGAATCCCTCCTCCTGGGAGCCAAGAGGAGGTCTCTCAAAACTAGAAGGGAAAGCCGTTTCCCCCACATCAATCCAGCTTTGGAGGCATTCTATTAGTGACATATGCCCCTTCCCCCAAAACAACAATGAAGTGGTCTGTGTGCTGACACCATAGCTTAAAAAAAAAAGAAAGTAAAACAAAATTCTGCATTTTTATAAAACTTGATAAAAAATAGTATTTCAAACTGTACAGTCACCAGAAGTACGCAGTTATCAAAAATGCACACACTTCACTTGGCATCTCCAGCACCTTCGGCTTTCTGTGCCTGGTCTGTTTTGGCATCTCCATTTTCTGCAGGGTTATTCCCTTCCTTGCCAGCATCAGCTTTTCCCTTTTTCCCTTTGGGTACCTTCTCTCCCTTCTTTGCAGAGGCCTTTTTAGGCTTGGGCTCTGGCTTTGGAGGAGCAGGTTTAGCAGACAACCTCGTGGATCTTCTCTGTGGTTCGTCCTTCACCCTGGCTTTATCGCCTTTAGCATCCCCTTCAGCCTTTCTCTTGGGCATGGTGGCGACGGCGGTGGGACGTAGGCGCTGACCGCGGGATGCAGCCGCGCGTGGGCTTCGGTGGCTCCGGGCGTCGCTCTCGCCTCTTCTTCTTCACACTGCTCCTATAGCTATATATTTTCACCTTTAGCACTACCTTCTTTGTGTCTCAAAAGCTTTGATATATTGTATTTTTATTTTCATTTGTCTCTAAGTATCTTCTAATTTCCCTTGTGATTTCTTCATTTATTCATTAGTTGTTTAAAACTGTTAATTAATTTTCACAAACTTGTGAATTTTCCAGTTTTACTTTTAATATTGATTTCTAACTTCATCCTATTGTGGTCAGAGAAGATATATTTTATAGTATCTATCTTTTTACATTGACTGAGACTTCATTTGTGGCCTCAGATATGGTCTGTCCTAGAAAATGTCCCGAGTTCACTTGAGAATAATGTGTATGCTGTTGTCAAGCAGAGTGTTCTGTATATGTCTGTTAGATCTAGTTGGTTTATTGTATTGAGTCCTCTATTCCCTGACTTATCTTCTGTAAGGTTGTTCTATCCATTATTGAGAGTGAAATATTGATGTCTCTATTGCTGTAAATATGTCTATTTCTCCCTTCAATTCTATCAGTTTTTGCCTTATATATTTTAATGGTTTGTCATTAGGTGCAGAAACTTTTACAATTGTTATATTTTCTTGCTGTATTGAACATTTTATTATTATGTCCTTCTTTGTCCCTTATAACTTTTTAAATTTAAACTGTATTTTGTATTTTGAAAAGACCAATATCCAGAATCTACAAGAAATTCAAATCTCAACAAGAGAAAAATAACCCCATTAAAAAGTAGACAAAGGACATGGACAGATATTTCTCAAAAGAAGACATACAAGCTGCCAACAAATATATAGAAAAATGCTCAACATCACTAAACATCAGAGAAATGCAAATAATAACCACAATGAGACACCATCTCATGCCAGGCAAAAAGGCGTTACTAAAAAGTCAAAAACAGGAGATATTGGCAAGGATGGAGAGGAAAGGGAATACTTATACACTGTTAGTGGGAATGTAAATTAGTACAACCTCTATGGAGAACAGTATAGAGATTTCTCAAAGAACTAAAAATAGAACTACCATTTGACCTAGCAATACCACTACTGTCTATCTACCCGAAGGGGAAAAACATCATTACATAAAAAAGACATCTGCACTCATATGTTTATCTCAGCACTATTTGTAATAGCAAAGTCATGGAATCAGCCTGGATTTATCAATGGATGATCACATAAAGAAAATGTGGTATATATAGACCATGGAATACCAGACAGCCATAAAAGAGAATGAAATAATGACTTTTGGAGCAACTTGGATGGAGCTGAATGCCATTATCCTAAATGAAATAACTCAGACACAGAAACTCAAATACCGCATACCCTCACTTATAAGTGGGAGCTAAGCAATGAGTATACATGGACATAAGAGGGAAATAATAGACACTGAGGACTGTAAAAAGGGAGAGAGTAGGAGAGAGCTGAGGGTTGAACTATTACCTATTGGGTACAATGTTCACTATTTGGGTGATGGGTATACCAGAAGCCCAAACCCCACCACTATGCAATATATTCACATAGCACATCTGCACATGTACCCCCTGAACCTATTTTTAAGTGTATTTTGTCTGATACTAGGAAAATCACTTCTGCTCTCATTTGCTTGCCATTTTCATGAAATATCTATCATTTCATTTTCCATTTATGTACTTATTTATTGAGACAGAGTCTCAGTATGTTGCCCAGGCTGGTCTCAGCTTCCCAGGTAGTTGGGACTACAAACATGCATCACCACACCCAGCCATCTTTTCATTTTCAATCTATTTTTGTCTCTGGATCCAAAATGAGTCTTGTAGACAGCACATAGTTGGATCATGTGTTTTTGTCCATTTTGCCCATCTCTCTTTTTATTAGAGAGTTTACTCCATTTATGTTTAGAGTGATTATTGATAAGGAGATATTTTCTTCTGTCATTTTGCTCCTGTTTTCTCCAGGCCTTTTAGGTTTTTTATTCCTAATTTTCTGCATTACTGTATTATTTTGTGTGTAGTTGAGTATTTGTGGTGAAATATTTAAATTTCTTTCTCATGTTCTTTCACATATATTCTATAGCAATTTTCTTTGTGCTTACTACAAGGATTACATTTTACATTATAAAGTTATAACACCCTAATTTGAATTTATACCAGCTTAACTTTAATAATATTCAAAAACTATGCTCCTTTATGTCTTTGTACCTACCCCTTTTAGTTGTTGATATCACAAAAATGTATCTTTGTATATACGGTGCCCAAAACTCATAATTTAAAATACTATGTTAGACTTTTCAAGTATGAGAAAACAAAATAATCTTTAAAATTTTTTGTAGAGATAGGATCTCACTCTGTTGCCCAGGCTGGTCTCAAACTCCTGGCTCAAGTGATCCTCCTACTTTGGCCCCCAAAGTGCTGAGATTATAGGTATGAACCACTGCACATAGCCTAGAAAGTGTTTTCTCTTCTTCAACTTTTTAGCAAAGTTACAAGCCGAAGTAACAATAATACTAGTTTCTAGACTAATAATATTTGTTGACTATATTAGTCTCTTAAATCATGTAGAAAAGAAAAAGTGGAGTTATAAACTGTTGTTACAATAATGTTAGCTTTTATCATTACACATGTATTTACCTTCATTGAAATCTTTATTTCTTCATGTGGCTTCAAGTTACTATCTAGCGTCCTTTCATTTCACTCTGCAGGACTCTCTTGAGTATTTCTTGCAGAGTAGGTCTATGGATAATTAACTCCCACAGCTTTTGTTTATTTGAGAATGTCTTAATTTCCCTCACTCCTGAAGAACAGTTTTGCCAGATAGAGGAGTTTGGTTGATATGCTTTTTTCTTTTAGTAATTTGAATGTATCAGCCTACTGCCTTCTGACCTCCAAAGTTTTCGATGAAAATATTACTGAGAATCCTTTTTAATGATGAGTAGCTTCTCTCTTGCTGCTTTCAAGATTCTGTCTTTGACTTTGCCCTCTGAAAGTTTAATTATAATGTGTCTTGGTGTGAGCTCTCTTTTTAGCAATTGGTACTTGCTATATTGCCCAGACTGGAGTGCAGTGCCTTTTTTTTTTTTTTTTTTTGAGACGGAGTTTTGCTCTTGTTACCCAGGCTGGAGTGCAATGGCACGATCTCGGCTCACCACAACCTCCGCCTCCTGGCTTCAGGCAATTCTCCTGCCTCAGCCTCCTGAGTAGCTGGGATCACAGGCACGCACCACCATGCCCAGCTAATTTTTTGTATTTTTTTAGTAGAGACGGGGTTTCACCATGTTGACCAGGATGGTCTCGATCTCTTGACCTTGTGATCCACCCACCTCGGCCTCCCAAAGTGCTGGGATTACAGGCTTGAGCCACCGCGCCCGGCCCTGCAGTGCCTATTTATAGGCATAATCATAGCATGGCGCAGCCTTGAACTCCTGGCCTTAAGTAATCCTCCTACCTCAGCCTCTCAAGTAGCTGGGATTACAAGCATGTGATACTGTGCCAGGCTCTTCAATGTGGGTCTCTTGGAGCTCATCTTACTAGGAGTTTGCTGAGCTTTGTGGATATTTATGTTCCTATTTTTCATCAAGTTTGAAAAGTTTTCAGTCATTATATTTTCAATTATTCTCTTTGCCCTTTCTCTCTTCTTCTTTTGGAATTTCCATAATGCATATGTTAGTCCATTTGATGGTGTCCCAGAGTTCCCTAGGCTCTGTTCATTTTTCTTCAGTCTTTTTCTTTCTGTTACTCAGACTCAATAGTTTCCATCATCCTATATTTAAATTCATTGATTCTTGTTTATTCAAATCTGCCTTTGAACCCCTCTAGTGAATTTTTCATTTCAGTGATGGTACTCTTCAGCTGCAGAGTTTCTTTTTGGTTTCTTTTAGGTTTTCTATCACACATCATTTGATTGACTTTGTCCATCTCTTCTTTTAGTTTTTGAGTATCTGTAAGCCAGTTGCTTAAAAGCCCTTGTTTAAAAATCTATCATCAGGTGTTTTTCAGGAATATTTTCTCTGATTTCTTTTTTCCTTTGACTGGGCCATACCTTTTTGTTTCTTTGTATGCCTTATAATTTTTGTTAAAAACTGGACATTTTAATTTAATAATGCAGCAACCCTAGAAGTCAGACTTTTCCCCTCCTCTAGTGTTTGCTATTTTTTACTATTTTTTTTATTGTTGTCAGCTGTCTCTTTGCCAAGGATAAGTTTGAGGTATAAACTTAAGTTCTTTCTGGGTTTTGTTCTGAGCCTGTACTTTTCCTTGGGCATTTATACTTTCTAATTTCTCCCATGTGTATATAGTTGCTTTTGAATGTCCTAGTCTTTAATGTCTGTCTCCCAAAAGGAGAGAATAGAAAATTTAAGTCGGGAAGAATGCCAACCTTTTAAGTCCCCGAGAACTCATTTCAGCTGAGGAGGCAGGACTTACAATGGGAAGGGGAATATCAACAATGCCTGCCTGCTTCTTTTTCTGCAACTCTGTGATCACAAGCAGAGCACAGATACTTGGAGAATGGGGTTATTTTTGCCTACCCTGACTCCCACAAGCTATGTACAAGCTGCTCCCGGAACACATGGACAGCTACCTGCCACAGGATGGGTATCTGCTATAGTGCTAAGAGTTGAAATTGACCAAAATTAACCATAGCTTACTATCAAAATATTCCTCAGGAATTTACAATCCTTCAATAGGCTCCAGAGTTCCAAAATTATACATTAGACAGATTCTGCCAGGGCAATTGTTGCCTAGGTAGGGAGCAAGTTGTTAGTGCTTCCTACTCTGCCATCTTCACAGGATCCTCTCTAAAACTGCTAATATTTTGTTTAGGATTTTTGCATTTAGATATGTGAACCTAAAAAAACTGAGGCAAAATTAATATAGAGTGTATTTGAGCCAAAGTTGAGAACTACAGCCCTAGACACCCTTCCAAGTTGC